TTGAATTTCCACAACTTATAGACATATGATCAGATTCTCATATCCGATAACACATAATCAAACTTTTTTATTCTAAATTAATTTTATTAATTTTAATAAATTCATACAATTAAATTTATATCAATTAAAAGTTATGTATTTACATTACAAATTCATTCATAAATTTATAAGTAATTATAAACTAACATAATAATAATTAAATATATAATGAATATAATTTCAACATACACTAAATATTTATCAGAATTGAAAAGCCGAAAAATGCTCATCGGATGCCCACATCCGATTTATCACACATCGGATCTCAATAGTAGTCGATAAACTCATTTTTGGATTTTATTATCTGATTCATGTTCTGTTGTGTATTTAAATAGGATCTTTAGTGTAGGGTTTCTTTGTATAAATGAAAGAGGGTGTTGGGGTCAAGGGTGAGAGGTACATGTCTTGTAATAGGGAAAAATGAAACTGGGGTCAATGTTGAACATAGAAATAATCAATAAGCATATAATTAAAAAATAACAACTTAATTAATTGGGGATATTTTAGGAAATTGGAGGTGCAGGTGAAATGCTTGGAGGTGCAGGGTGAAACACTTTTGTATAATTTAATTTCCCATGTGTTAACTGGATTGGACTGGTCTGCAACGCTGGCCCAAAAAACATGTCAAAAATTGATCAGGGCACTTATTCCTGCACCCCAAACTGCACTTCTTCGTGTACCCCAAATTTTTCTTCTTATACCACCAAACGTTTTTATATTTCTAAAATGATCCCTATTAGCTTTTGACTTTCACCTTAACTAAGGTTTTGACTTTCAATAAGATTTTGACTTTCGCTAGGGTTTAAAACCCGGATCCTTCAGGCTGTGTTAGCATGAATCGAATTTACTGTTCATGTGAATTACAGAGCAAAGAATTGAAGGTTATGTCGTGTTCGTATGAGAGGATTGGCGAGGAAAAGCGCGGACGGATTTGCGGGATTCATCCAGTTTTCATCACCCGCGGATGTGAGAAGATTTGCACTGATTTTAAGTGAAATGTCGAGTGTGCCCCGAGCTTTATATTAAATTCCACGTACGTAAATGGTATCAAGATAGCACACTGCACCGAATAACCGATTACATGAAGGGTAACCGATTACATGGTGAAGGGTACATATCAATAACCGATTCCAAAGCTCAGAAAAAAGTTAAAACATGCACTGTGGTTTCACGAGAAAGAAGCAATGCACAGAGTAAAGTGGATGTAGCTTGGTGAAAGAACAAGCTTGGTGAAAGAAGAACAGGGTCAGCAGCACGCGTACTCGGTTACAAGATAGCGTAACCGGTTACGGTTGGCGTAACCGATTACAGCAGCCATAACCGGTTACAAGGTGATTCAGGTTTTTCGAAGAAACCCGTATTCGGTTACAGAGGCTTGTAACCAGTTACAATTTTCCAGAACGTGTTACAGACCGGCTCCGATTGCAGGCGTGGTGTGCATGAGTTGGTCCCTTTTGGCAGGTTGTGGTGTGTGAGTTGGTTACACATTCATTCGTGCATGGCTTCCTCCGTCGTTGGTTAGGTCCAGGGTGTTAAGGTTGATGCATGGAGGTGGTGGCACCGTTGGGGTTGTAGAGAAGACAGCACATGATGGAGGGTGATGGAGGGTGGTTTGGTAGCACTACCCTTGGAGGCAGAGACTGAGTTACGGATGACATGAAGAAGGGGATGCGTGAGGGGAGGGACATGTGTTCCATGGAGAAGAAGATGTTGATGGGGTTGGAGTTGGAGAGGAGGAGGAGTACGGTGGTGTGGAGGTTTTAAAAAGTTTTTTAACGTGTTAAAGCAGGCAGAGTTTATTTCTAAAGCAACATGCTAACCATGTCTTGCAGGTTTATGTTTTGGACTGAGAGGTGCATTGGTAAGGTGGTGGTAAGCTTTCCTCTCTAATCATAGTTGTTTGTAATCAGGTTGGAAATTTTCCGATGTTTGTTACATCTTCAGCTGTTCATTTCTTTTCTTCTGTTCTTTAATACATACGTAATAATAATGCTTAAATTGCTTTCATTATTTCATTCATCATTATTTATTTTGCAGATGGATATTACTGTTATATCATTATTCTTTTAGTATACAATTTTGGCTTTAAAATAATACGAGGCTTGTTAATATTTTAAAGCAAACAAAGTATTATATGGTTGTTTTTTACGCAGGTAACAACAATTTTTATGTGCAAATCTTCTAAATTAATATGCCATTGTGAAATGTGAAATTTATATATATTTGTAAAAATATATGCTTTTGACACATTTTTTCTAAAATGACAATGAGTTGGATTACAAATACTTTACCTACAACTCGATTTATAATAAAAAAATCTGTCTTGTTATAGGTTGAATATTCATTTAGAAAATATTTATAAATGTTCTAAAGTCTACACTACACGTAAATAATCACAAATATTTTAAAACATATATATTTTATAAATTTTTAAAATAAAATTACAAAATAAAATATAAAATATAATATATAATATAATATAAATTTACTTTAAAATTCTCAAGCAACATGCTAACCATTGTATTTCTCAAACAATATTTGTATGTTGAATTCTTTCAACTTTTTTTTTAGGTCATGTAATATTATAACTTAGTACTTAATTGTGGTTGTTTGATTAATGTTAATCATTCTCACATGCGTGACAAATAAATTGATATCACTTCGTACTTAATAATGTTACAATTTAATTCTACAATTTAAAATACATTCATTTTACTACAATTTAATTTTTATAATTTTTAAAAATTAATTTTTACAATTTTTCATAATTTTTTTCTCTTTTTAAACATTTATACAATTAAATATAACATTACAAAATAACATTTTATAATACTTTTATAAGTAGGGGCAATTTGGTAATCTTAATTTTCTACCAATTAAACAAATTTTTAAAATCTATCACATCAATCAAATCCTACACTAATTTTCACAAACTTTACTTCCAAATCCACTCTCAATTACCCTCAAATCCACTTAAAAAAATAACAAAAAAATTACCCTCAAATCCACTCAAAATCCATTCAAAATACCCCAAAAGAACACACCCTTCATGTGCGCCTCATTCATCACCTTACTTTTTTCTTCTCATTTCCATCACATCTTTATACTTTCTTCTTCTTTCTAAATCAACAGAAAAATTATCGAATTTCAAAATTTGAAAGATTCTAAATTGAATTTTATATTTTATATTTTAAAATATTTCAAAATTCTAAAAATTTAAAATTAGATTTTGAAATTCAGAAAAATCTAAAACTGAATTTCAAAATTTAAGAAATTCAATAACTATTTTTCAAAATCCGAAAATCTAAAAATTGGATTTTGAAATTCAAAATTTTATATATTTAAATTTTAAAATCCAAAAAAATTTAGAACAGGATTTTGAAATCCAAGAATATATCGAATTTTAAAAAATTATAAAAATCCAAAAGTGAATTTTAAAATTGAAAAAATTCAAAAATTGGATTTTGAAATCCAAGAAAATCTGAGTTTCAAAATCTTGAAAAATTAAAACAGGATTTTGGAATCCAAGAAACTCTGAAATTTAATTTCAAAATCCAGAAAATTTCAAATCTAGTTTTCAAAATTCCAAAAATTTCAAAACTAAATTGAATAATATATATATTATAGAATTATGATGGGTATTAGTAAAATTTGAAAGTGAAAAAAAAAATGTGAGGTGCAGGAATAAAGGCCCTTGATTAGCTAGACTACATATGTGCACAATGGAGATGGTCAACCTTATTCTATGAGCACAATTCTTAAAAAAAATTGTAAAAAATTAAACTTTATTAATTCATAAATAAATAAAAAATTATTTTAAAAATTTAGATTTTAACTAAGATATCTTGAATGAAATCAATTAGATTCATTAATCTTATATTTCCTGATTTTATCGCCCTATTTATTTGTTGCAAAAAGAATGAATGAAAATTGAAATTGAAGAAATAATATATATGGATTAAATTTAGGATTTCATTTTCAAACTTGTTATAAACAGTAACACATGCTCTCTCTCTTCTTTTTTTTTTAAGTTTTTTGGTATGGATACACAACCAAAGCTACTCATTTTCCTTTTTATTTTAATATTACCCAATAATAATGGGATTCAATTTTGCAACTTTTCTTTCAGTATACACTTTTTAACCCCATTTACCCTTTGTATTTTTATATTTATTGTCGAACTTTTTGTTTTCATTTTATAAAAAATCATGATAAATTTTGAAAGTATTGTTTGTTCTAAGTTATAATCAATTTTTTAATTTAAAAGTATATATTTTTATAACTATTTTCATATAAATGTTACTATAGTTTCCTTTTTTATTGTGATAGAAATTTACAAATCATCCTATTACAATTATAGAATTATGACATTATAAAGTGAATAAAATGAATTACAAATACTTTTAATATATATAATTTTTTTATACTATCAGTAGAAACTATAGATATATTTGTAATTAATTTTAATATAATAAATAACTTTTAATTATATTTTTATTGTTATTATAAAAAGAATAGAGAAAGTATGGGGATTTATATTCCTCATCTTTTAATCAATTAGACAATAATTATAACTACCAGTTTTTAATATTTAATTATTATTATATCTTTAAAGATGAAAGATTGAAAGTTACCTGCTACTAAGAAAATTATAATATGGAAACATATTCATTCACACATGCGTATATTTTTTTAAAATAAAATTATAACTAAAAAAGTAAATATTAATATTTCTTAATAAAAAGTTCAATTTTAGGTAATTTTTTTCATAAATATTTATTTAATTTAAATAATAATTAACTTAAAAATAGTTAAATAAAAGATGATTAAATTTAAAAAATATTTAAAAGATAAAATATAAAAAAATGATAACTTTAGGAAAAAAAATACTTATAAAAAGATAGAAGTAGACAAAAATATATACACAAAAGACATTGTATATATAAATCAAAGGTCTAAAGTGCAATTAGGTCTTACAATTCTTCAAGCTAAAACCCTCTCTGTTAACACGACAACACAGAGTGAGGTAATGGCAACGACAGAAGACAATGGAAAGAAGGAAGGAACCAACTTGCTTGGCTCGCCCACTTTCACAGAGTTGGAAAACGGCCGTTTCAGGTGCGTTGAAACTGGCCACGAGGTCCTTTCTAAGGACATAGCGTCCTACTCTCACAGCAAAAAATGTCGTTTGGGTCTCATCGATTTCGCCTTGTCCAATCGCAAAGCCCCTCTCAACATGTTCAAGCAAGACCCTCTCTCTCGGTGAACTACAATTTCCCTTTCTCCTTTTCTTTCCCACTTTTTCTTTTCCTGATTTTTGTTCCTCCCTTTCTTCAGGCCTTCACGTGTGTTTATCATACCAATATTACTTTCCTGAAAAAGCTCTTAAAATTTTCAACATATGTTTGTAATCAAATGTTGTTTTAAAATTTGTGAATTTTCGACTGAGTTTGTGTGAGTCTGTTTGTATGAAGTAACAACACAGTCTGCACATGAAAATGTGACAACTTTCAAGGGTTACATATTTTTCTGTGTCTGTGGAGAATGTTACTGACGTAGTTGTTTTTGTTCCTCTTTTTCAGTTCAAAGTTAATATGTAAGCTGACTGGGGACAACGTTAATAAGTCTGAAGAACATATCTGGAAGCATATGAGTGGCAAAAGATTTCTCAATAAATTAGGTCAGTGATGTTATGTCTTTTATTTACTCAATATTGGATTAGGAGTGGTGTCAGCGCTTCAATATTGAAGCGAGACTATGTTTTCCTGCTAGTATTTTCAGATTATGTGATCTGTGATTGAGTATAGATATTGGGAGCTTTGTTTACTGATACATTTTTTTTATAAACAGAGCAAGAGGAAGAAGATAAGTTATCTTGCCAAGGAATGGAAGTTGAAGATAGGTTAGAGGAGTCAAAAAGTGCAGACGATGGAGGAAAGGATAAAAAGAAGAAGAAGAAGAAAAAGAAGAAGAAGAATAAAGGAATTGATGAGGAGAACTTACTGGAGTCAAAAAGTGCAAATGCTGGAGAAAAGGATAGAATGATGAAGAAGAAAAAGAATAAGGACACGACAGTTGAAGAAATTAGATCAGAAGTTAGGAAGTCTTCCGTTGAGGATAGTGACACAGAAGAGGAAGACTTCTGGATGCCTCCTGTTGGTGATCGGTGGGACCATGATGATGGGGGAGATCGATGGGGTTCTGAGTCTGAGTCTGAGTCAGTGCAGGAAATTGAAGATGGGAATGTAATCGGTATGTATACCCGTCATGTCATTCAACATTTATTGTCAAATTAACTGTCAATAACAGAGTTTTTTTGTTTCAAAGTTGGGAGAATTGAATTTTTATTGAGTTAATTTCCATCTGCTGAACTTTATTGGGATAGCCTGATCATAGATTTTAAATTGTAATGTGTGTCATGAGTTACTGATTCTGAGTGATTCCGCAACAAGTACTTGGCTGATTTATAACTTGACTTCACACAGAAGATAATGCCTAAGTAATGGTTTGAACAGTGTTGTCAAAACTGAATAACCTCACCAATTATTTCAATGCTACCAATTTTGAGGAGGGGTTGGGGTTCATATGCTAACATGCAGAGGGATGGCATGTTGTATGGATTTCTTGTGGAGTAAGTTTTAGTGCAAGATTCTTGTAATGATTGATCCACTTTACCATGACAAAATGAAGATGCTCTTGTCCTCTGTCAATGCTTGGGTTTCCATAGCCAACAGATGTGTTCTTAGACAAGACTATGTTCCAGTCGAGGAGAAGGTTTGACGAGGCTATTATAGGAAGCAGTGTAAGAGCATGAATTAACCTTTGTTTGTAGGGGTTGTTTGACAGTTATAGTTGTTCGCCTTTTTTTTTTATAAAATGTATATAAATAGACTTCTGTTTGTTTTAGTGGGATCATCTTGGAAATATTAGTTTGTGGTGTCTGAGTTATCTAGTGTGAAAGGATACAATTCCCTTTTGTAATCTGTTTTGCTTCTTTTGGTTCTGGAATAATTTCAAGAGTGAACCTTTTTCTGTTGTTTTTCTTATCTTCATCCTGAGAATCCTAACAATTGGTTTGATCTGCTGGATTTAAAACTTAGGGTAGCAACCTATTTTGGTGATGATAGATAGTGGAGCTAGCCACAACCTTTTTTCTTCAAAGTTGGTGCGCAGTTTGGGTTTACAGGTGTAACAAACTCCACCATTTAGGGTAAAGTTAGGAGACGGTAGATTAAAATTAGGAGATGGGCATAAAAAGCAAACACAAGGACTCTACAAAAATACTAAGGTTCTGTTCGGTGAGTATGCTCATATTGAGGACTTTTTCATATTTGAACAGAGGGTGGATTTTTATTTTGGGTGTNAATTTTCTACCAATTAAACAAATTTTTAAAATCTATCACATCAATCAAATCCTACACTAATTCTCACAAACTTTACTTCCAAATCCACTCTCAATTACCCTCAAATCCACTTAAAAAAATAACAAAAAAATTACCCTCAAATCCACTCAAAATCCATTCAAAATACCCCAAAAGAACACACCCTTCATGTGCGCCTCATTCATCACCTTACTTTTTTCTTCTCATTTCCATCACATCTTTATACTTTCTTCTTCTTTCTAAATCAACAGAAAAATTATCGAATTTCAAAATTTGAAAGATTCTAAATTGAATTTTATATTTTATATTTTAAAATATTTCAAAATTCTAAAAATTTAAAATTAGATTTTGAAATTCAGAAAAATCTAAAACTGAATTTCAAAATTTAAGAAATTCAATAACTATTTTTCAAAATCCGAAAATCTAAAAATTGGATTTTGAAATTCAAAATTTTATATATTTAAATTTTAAAATCCAAAAAAATTTAGAACAGGATTTTGAAATCCAAGAATATATCGAATTTTAAAAAATTATAAAAATCCAAAAGTGAATTTTAAAATTGAAAAAATTCAAAAATTGGATTTTGAAATCCAAGAAAATCTGAGTTTCAAAATCTTGAAAAATTAAAACAGGATTTTGGAATCCAAGAAACTCTGAAATTTAATTTCAAAATCCAGAAAATTTCAAATCTAGTTTTCAAAATTCCAAAAATTTCAAAACTAAATTGAATAATATATATATTATAGAATTATGATGGGTATTAGTAAAATTTGAAAGTGAAAAAAAAAATGTGAGGTGCAGGAATAAAGGCCCTTGATTAGCTAGACTACATATGTGCACAATGGAGATGGTCAACCTTATTCTATGAGCACAATTCTTAAAAAAAATTGTAAAAAATTAAACTTTATTAATTCATAAATAAATAAAAAATTATTTTAAAAATTTAGATTTTAACTAAGATATCTTGAATGAAATCAATTAGATTCATTAATCTTATATTTCCTGATTTTATCGCCCTATTTATTTGTTGCAAAAAGAATGAATGAAAATTGAAATTGAAGAAATAATATATATGGATTAAATTTAGGATTTCATTTTCAAACTTGTTATAAACAGTAACACATGCTCTCTCTCTTCTTTTTTTTTTAAGTTTTTTGGTATGGATACACAACCAAAGCTACTCATTTTCCTTTTTATTTTAATATTACCCAATAATAATGGGATTCAATTTTGCAACTTTTCTTTCAGTATACACTTTTTAACCCCATTTACCCTTTGTATTTTTATATTTATTGTCGAACTTTTTGTTTTCATTTTATAAAAAATCATGATAAATTTTGAAAGTATTGTTTGTTCTAAGTTATAATCAATTTTTTAATTTAAAAGTATATATTTTTATAACTATTTTCATATAAATGTTACTATAGTTTCCTTTTTTATTGTGATAGAAATTTACAAATCATCCTATTACAATTATAGAATTATGACATTATAAAGTGAATAAAATGAATTACAAATACTTTTAATATATATAATTTTTTTATACTATCAGTAGAAACTATAGATATATTTGTAATTAATTTTAATATAATAAATAACTTTTAATTATATTTTTATTGTTATTATAAAAAGAATAGAGAAAGTATGGGGATTTATATTCCTCATCTTTTAATCAATTAGACAATAATTATAACTACCAGTTTTTAATATTTAATTATTATTATATCTTTAAAGATGAAAGATTGAAAGTTACCTGCTACTAAGAAAATTATAATATGGAAACATATTCATTCACACATGCGTATATTTTTTTAAAATAAAATTATAACTAAAAAAGTAAATATTAATATTTCTTAATAAAAAGTTCAATTTTAGGTAATTTTTTTCATAAATATTTATTTAATTTAAATAATAATTAACTTAAAAATAGTTAAATAAAAGATGATTAAATTTAAAAAATATTTAAAAGATAAAATATAAAAAAATGATAACTTTAGGAAAAAAAATACTTATAAAAAGATAGAAGTAGACAAAAATATATACACAAAAGACATTGTATATATAAATCAAAGGTCTAAAGTGCAATTAGGTCTTACAATTCTTCAAGCTAAAACCCTCTCTGTTAACACGACAACACAGAGTGAGGTAATGGCAACGACAGAAGACAATGGAAAGAAGGAAGGAACCAACTTGCTTGGCTCGCCCACTTTCACAGAGTTGGAAAACGGCCGTTTCAGGTGCGTTGAAACTGGCCACGAGGTCCTTTCTAAGGACATAGCGTCCTACTCTCACAGCAAAAAATGTCGTTTGGGTCTCATCGATTTCGCCTTGTCCAATCGCAAAGCCCCTCTCAACATGTTCAAGCAAGACCCTCTCTCTCGGTGAACTACAATTTCCCTTTCTCCTTTTCTTTCCCACTTTTTCTTTTCCTGATTTTTGTTCCTCCCTTTCTTCAGGCCTTCACGTGTGTTTATCATACCAATATTACTTTCCTGAAAAAGCTCTTAAAATTTTCAACATATGTTTGTAATCAAATGTTGTTTTAAAATTTGTGAATTTTCGACTGAGTTTGTGTGAGTCTGTTTGTATGAAGTAACAACACAGTCTGCACATGAAAATGTGACAACTTTCAAGGGTTACATATTTTTCTGTGTCTGTGGAGAATGTTACTGACGTAGTTGTTTTTGTTCCTCTTTTTCAGTTCAAAGTTAATATGTAAGCTGACTGGGGACAACGTTAATAAGTCTGAAGAACATATCTGGAAGCATATGAGTGGCAAAAGATTTCTCAATAAATTAGGTCAGTGATGTTATGTCTTTTATTTACTCAATATTGGATTAGGAGTGGTGTCAGCGCTTCAATATTGAAGCGAGACTATGTTTTCCTGCTAGTATTTTCAGATTATGTGATCTGTGATTGAGTATAGATATTGGGAGCTTTGTTTACTGATACATTTTTTTTATAAACAGAGCAAGAGGAAGAAGATAAGTTATCTTGCCAAGGAATGGAAGTTGAAGATAGGTTAGAGGAGTCAAAAAGTGCAGACGATGGAGGAAAGGATAAAAAGAAGAAGAAGAAGAAAAAGAAGAAGAAGAATAAAGGAATTGATGAGGAGAACTTACTGGAGTCAAAAAGTGCAAATGCTGGAGAAAAGGATAGAATGATGAAGAAGAAAAAGAATAAGGACACGACAGTTGAAGAAATTAGATCAGAAGTTAGGAAGTCTTCCGTTGAGGATAGTGACACAGAAGAGGAAGACTTCTGGATGCCTCCTGTTGGTGATCGGTGGGACCATGATGATGGGGGAGATCGATGGGGTTCTGAGTCTGAGTCTGAGTCAGTGCAGGAAATTGAAGATGGGAATGTAATCGGTATGTATACCCGTCATGTCATTCAACATTTATTGTCAAATTAACTGTCAATAACAGAGTTTTTTTGTTTCAAAGTTGGGAGAATTGAATTTTTATTGAGTTAATTTCCATCTGCTGAACTTTATTGGGATAGCCTGATCATAGATTTTAAATTGTAATGTGTGTCATGAGTTACTGATTCTGAGTGATTCCGCAACAAGTACTTGGCTGATTTATAACTTGACTTCACACAGAAGATAATGCCTAAGTAATGGTTTGAACAGTGTTGTCAAAACTGAATAACCTCACCAATTATTTCAATGCTACCAATTTTGAGGAGGGGTTGGGGTTCATATGCTAACATGCAGAGGGATGGCATGTTGTATGGATTTCTTGTGGAGTAAGTTTTAGTGCAAGATTCTTGTAATGATTGATCCACTTTACCATGACAAAATGAAGATGCTCTTGTCCTCTGTCAATGCTTGGGTTTCCATAGCCAACAGATGTGTTCTTAGACAAGACTATGTTCCAGTCGAGGAGAAGGTTTGACGAGGCTATTATAGGAAGCAGTGTAAGAGCATGAATTAACCTTTGTTTGTAGGGGTTGTTTGACAGTTATAGTTGTTCGCCTTTTTTTTTTATAAAATGTATATAAATAGACTTCTGTTTGTTTTAGTGGGATCATCTTGGAAATATTAGTTTGTGGTGTCTGAGTTATCTAGTGTGAAAGGATACAATTCCCTTTTGTAATCTGTTTTGCTTCTTTTGGTTCTGGAATAATTTCAAGAGTGAACCTTTTTCTGTTGTTTTTCTTATCTTCATCCTGAGAATCCTAACAATTGGTTTGATCTGCTGGATTTAAAACTTAGGGTAGCAACCTATTTTGGTGATGATAGATAGTGGAGCTAGCCACAACCTTTTTTCTTCAAAGTTGGTGCGCAGTTTGGGTTTACAGGTGTAACAAACTCCACCATTTAGGGTAAAGTTAGGAGACGGTAGATTAAAATTAGGAGATGGGCATAAAAAGCAAACACAAGGACTCTACAAAAATACTAAGGTTCTGTTCGGTGAGTATGCTCATATTGAGGACTTTTTCATATTTGAACAGAGGGTGGATTTTTATTTTGGGTGTGTCATGGTCAGCCACTCTAGCAGATGTAAAAGTAAATTGGAGGACTTTGACAATGAAATTTGCTGAACAAGGTCAGGTTGTGGAAAGTAGTGGTGATCTCTAGTTGTGAAAAACCTTTATTACTCCACAAGCTCTGATGAAAGGGACATAGATAGAGGCAGTATCAATATATGGGGGATAGAAACCAGGGAAAACTGGTTCTTGAAGGAAACACATAATAATCTGCCGGAGTCTGGGAAGGAAGAGAGTTACAGTACATTATTGAGGAATTCTCTGCTGTTTTTGCTGAACCATAAGGACTGCCACTAAACAGGGCAGTGGACCACAGAATTCCCATAAAAATATGGGGTAAATCCTCTAAGTGTGCCCTATAGGTACCCACACCTTCAAAAGAATGAAATTGAGAAGCCAGAGAAAGATATGCTGAGTTCAGGAATTATTAGGCCCATCAACAGTCCTTATTGTAGTCCTGTCTTGCCAGTGATGAAAAAGAATGGAAGTTGGAGGTTTTGTGTTGAGGGCTTTAAATAAGGCCACTATAGCTAACAAATCCCCCCTAGTCCAGTCGTTGAGGAACTGCTAGATGAGTTACATTTGAACCATTTTTTTTAGGTCGGATTCAAAAGCTGGATCTCACAAGATTGATATGCACAAGCCAGACATTCCTTAGAAAGACATTATTAATCTCTTTAGTCGTGCCTATTGAGCTGACCTATGCCCCAACTTAGAGCGGTCAAAACGGGCCACCCGGCCCGACCCGACCCGGCCCACCACGGGTTAGTCACTTAGTGAGCCAACCCAACCCGGCTCATTTATTAACGAGCCAGAAAAATTCGAACCCGGCTCAACCCACCACGGGTTGGTGGGTAAACGGGTTGGCTCAGTGGCTCACTTAATTACAATTTTTTTAAAATAAAAAGAAATTCCAAATTTTCTATAATACAAATCTAAACAAATTTGACTCCCAACATGGGTGTTTAATTAATTTTGAAAATAAGGAACTTAAATAATTTTTTCAACCAAAAACAAAATAATAAATATTTTTTTATAAAATTAAAATTAAATTTTAATAAAATAAAATTAGGTAAGTGGGTTGGTGGGCCAACCCGGCCCACCACGGGTTCAATCCGCATGAGCCAGGTTTAAACGAGCCGGGTTGAAATTTGACCCGCATAAAAGAAATACAATTTTTTCTAACCCAACCCGGCTCAAACCCGTGGTGGGCCGGATTGGCTCGCGGGTTGTGACCCATTTTGACAGCTCTACCCCAACTGCATTCCAATGTGCTAAAAATGTAATTTAATAGCCCTACCTCAGAAGGTTTGTCTTAGTTTTTTATTTATTTATGATATTCTAATACATAGTTAATCATGGAAAGAACAGTTGAGGCATTTGAGAAAGGTTCTCAGTACGTTACAACAACGCAGATTCTATGCAAATTTGAAGAAGTGAGTTTGCCCAGACAGAGTTAGAAAGGGCCTGTGATTTCTGTGCAGGGAGGTAGTAGCCTTGGATCCATAGAAAATAAAGCAATTCTACAACGGCCTATGCCTGAGTGTGTCAAGTCTTTAAGAAGATTTTTGGGGCTAACATGTTACTATAGGAGGCTCATTAGCAATTATGGAAAAATAGCAAGAATTTTCACTCATTTGCTAATAAAAGGGATCTCCAATGGTCTCAACATAGTACTGCAGCATTTGAACAATTGCAAGTTGCTGTCAATACAACTCCAACTTTAGCAATGTCAAATTTTGTTCAACAGTTTTTGTATTGAGTGTGATTGTATATAAACTAGGGGCTGCAAACAAAGTGGCAGATGCTTTATCCAGAAAATGAGGATGGGAAATCCAAGTGTTGTCCAACCAACCACTGGCAAAATATCAATTTGTTTGATGAGAAGGTACATGAAGATCCAGTCTTAGGCAAAATTTTGGAAGATTTACAGAAGGATCCAAATTATCATGGCCACGACCTTCGAACACGGTAGGTTATATTACAAGGGTAAACAGGACTTAGCACAGCCTTATCCAGGAGGGTGGTAAGGGATTTTTCACACATCTCCCAAGTTCGCTCAATCTTTGTATTGGATTGATAGGAAAAGAACAATAGCAGAGTAGGTTGCAGTCTGTCCTATTTGTCAATAAAGTAAATATGAAGTATTTTCACAGGCCACCTTCATCCCCTGCCCATCCCCAATGCCCCATGGGGAGACATGAACATGGATTTCATGGCAACTTTTCCTAGATTTAAAGGTTTAGATGCAATTCTGGTGGTTATGGGCAGACTTAGAGGATGCAATCACACTCATGATGACCGTTTTATTCCCATAAAAATTCATATTCAGCATGGAAAGAGAAGCTAAATTGTGTTATTTGCATTAGAAAGGAAACTACAAAAGGAGGAAACTTCCAATTTCCCCGAGCAGAAGTTTTTTTAACAGAAAATCAGTTCATCACCCCCTCTTCCCTGTCTCATGAGACTAAATAATAAAAATATTCTCCCACCGCTAACAACCTCCTCACTGCTCATGCCAAATCTGTTTTGTAACAATTTCTCCACTAACTCATGCCACCTCAGCTTGAGATTTTCACTCTCTTCTTTTGTGCACATTACACCTGCATACCTTTGGTGTCTCATTTACCTTGTGGACCAGTGGCTCTTTTGGCCCATAAACTTGTTGAGCTGCAACATACTCAGTTGAAGTTAGCAGTGGGAAATAATTCAGTGGAGTTCACTTTATCTAGAGAGCTTCGGGAAGAAGTTTCTAATTATGTTCCTAATCAGGTTTTGGGTTCTTGCATATAGCAGAATTAGGTGTTTGGAGTGTGTCGACTTGTTTGGGTTTATAATCCTATGTTACATGAAGAAATATTCTATTATGTTTTTAGTTATTTATGACAAATATGAGCTATTAGTTTTCCTTATATATATATATATACATAAATATATATATATATATATATATATATATATATATATGTGTGTGTGTGTGTGTGTATGTATATTACTTTTTATGTATATGCATTTATAAGTATAATTTTGAAGTTTTAGGAAGGATTTTAGGATCTTGTTGATTTTTTTGCATCATCGAGTTACTAATCTTTTACACCATTTTTTATCCTTCAACTTTTTATTATAGTTAGAGTTTGACACCATTGGACATGAGGACATGCCCATACCATTAGTTGTTTCTTGTTTGATCTGTCATGTGTTTTCTTAATTTTTTAAGTATGATAAATATGATTGAGCAGAGGATGTTTTTTCTCACAGATGGTGCTGTTGTTGAGGATTGCAAGGAGTCAGAAGAGTTGTCATCAAGGTATTTTTCTTCAGTGTGAAATAGTGGAATGGATACAGTTTCTGAATGTTATAAGTAGATGTTACTAGCAGTGTCTGGTTTCCTAGACTGACACAATATATATTTGAATTTTCTATTCTCTGCAGGACAAAAAGAATGTCAATAGAAATTGGACCGAGCAGCTTTGCTACAAGAAAGAAGAAAAGTAAGAGCCAGCACACTTAGATTGGTTTGGAAGTCAATTTTTCGGTGCATGAATCAAACTGTGTCAGTCCATGCTATTCGCACATGGGTACAAAATGCATTTTACCATTGAATTTTTTCTTGTTTTGAGAAGCTGCTTTATCGTCATATTTGTATTACGAGTAGCATCAAATTGGATAAAATTGCAAGTCTTTAAATTAAGCATGCAATCAATTGCAGGTCAAAAGTTCATTATAATGATAGTTCATTATTGTGTGGACAAAGTATTTTATTATTATTATTATAATTGTTTTAAAAATTATATATAGAATAATTTTTTAATTAGTCAAAATCCTTACATTGACCGTTTTTGAAAATTATGGCAGTTTTAACATGAACTTAATCTTTCAAAAGTTAAAAATCCAATTTAATCTACAGTTTTCTGCATACTCCATCTGATCTATAAAATATAAGAAATGGGACCTAATCTGTCAGAAAAAAAGTGGGAATTAAAGATCAAAATTACCAATCATAAATAAAGCAATCGATGATAAGATAAGATAAAATCAAAATTTTGAAAGATATTTTTCTTGCTTAAAATAGAAAGTAAATTCAGTTTTGATTCTTTAATTTCAATCTATTTTAAATCCTCAAATCTGAAAAATTACAGTTTTTAATCTTTTAAATGTAGTTTTTGGAAAGATCTTATACATGTTTAAGAAAGATAATTTAGTTATTTGAACTGAATGTTTTCTAGTATAATATTGATGCAATTTATTTACTATAAAAGATAATTACTAATATTATTGACAAGTTAAACTTTAAGTCACTACACTGTCAATCAATATTAAATTTAATATTCATGAACTAATTCTTTTTAATTAAAATGTTAAAATTAATTTTCATGGACTAATTCCTTTTAATTAAAAAGTTAAAATTAATATTCATGAAGTGACTCTTTTTAATTAAAAGGTTAAAATTATGTTAAAGCTTTTAAACCGGTAGTAAGCAGGAAAAAGGAAAAAGACGGATATAAGAAAAACATTAATCCATCTTGATTCCCTTGGTTATTCAAAAGTATAGTTGCCTCTATAATCTTCACATCTACATCATTGACAAAAAGCTTTAGACACCCATCTTCTTTAATTAAATTAACTAAAAAAAAATTAGTGAAAAATGATTTTAGTGCACGCCATAGAGAGAGATAAGAATCATGAGTGGATTATCAATCATAAAGGATGTTATTGTTTTTGTATTAACAAAATGAATCGACTCAAAAGAACGTGCGCGGTGTGGGTCTTGAAGGATAGCATATGTACCTAGCTTCATCAAACTCCGTACACTCACTTAGTATTGTTACTCAAACGCTCAACACCCACTACTTTTATGACTTCCGATCGTCGTCTACACACGAATCAACTCAATATTCAAATCCCCAATTCATTTTCCCATGTACTTTTAGCGTGTGACGATAATTCACCCAAATGGGTTGCTTCCAATCCAACTATTCTGCCACAATCTACAAACATTTAACATTGACATTATACCATAATTAAATATTAGTAAGATTTGGGTGTATGTTAATAAATAAGTGAAACCAACTACCTTGTGAGTTAACAGGCCAAAAGGCAAGTGTAAGTTATAAGGTTGTAGATGGAACGAAGAAAAGTGTTAAAAAATAGATGGACCGTGGACCCATAAGAAACGTGATTTACGGCTAGATATGGGCCAGAAATCAAGCAAGGGCAGAAGGGAACCCATTCGTCAAAAGACAGAAGAAAAAAAAAGTAAAAAAAAAAAAAAGCAAAATAATGATCACATCAAACATGATATTATGAATGGCATCTCGGTGACCCTCCACGTGTTGACAACCCATCTCCCCTTGCACGTTACTTTAAATTATTTTGCAGGCTTTGCTTGGTATCTTGGTGGCAAAGACAAGTCCATAATAGTGAATGAATACGCACAAAACCTTTCATCGATATTTATCTTTCTTTCTTTAAAGAGAAGGCCCTATTCCACCACCAACATAACCAAATCAAATCCTCTTCAACCCATATGGGGCGTGCAAGGTGCAACTCCATCATCTCATAGAAAAAGGACACAACAACATGATTCAATTGATTAATTCAGAGCATGGCATAGTAGATAATTCTTTAACAATATGCTTAAATGGCAATAATTGAAATTTTCAATGGAGACAGAAATGTGGTTGTTTGTTTTGTTGCTCCATAGGGAAAAATCTAACATCCTTATTGGGTGTTGATTAAGAAGTGAGTAAGTAACCAAACAAAACAAAACCAATTAATGAGACGCAACAACCGCCACCGACCTCAATCTCTGCCTTTTACTTCCACCATTTCTAGCAATAACCACCTTTCTTACTCCAATTAACCTCTCATCTAGTAAAAGACAACAACTTAGACCGTCAATTAAGCAAAACGGAGTACAAATCAAAACCATCCTATGTATGAACTGTCACCAACTCACTCCTCTCTGAAAAGACACCTATGTTTATTCCTTTTCAATATTAGCCACCCATCATTCACCAAAATGACCTATTATGTTTCCCAAACCATAATTATTATTATTATTACAATCTCAAAGTAAATATCCATTCACATTCACATTCACTTCTTAGAGGTTGTTATCATACTTAACGGCGAAGTAAGTAAAAAAGTGATTTTGGATGTAACATGGAGAAGGTTCATTCTAATTTTTTTAATGTGAGATTTTGATTTATTATTTGTATGAGTCAGTCACTAAGACAAATCATCAATTCTGATAATACTGTTGAATCTAATGAAAATGAGATTTACGGATTAATAAGCCTTTCATTCTTGTATGTTTTGACTCATACTTAAATTCTGAAATTATGAATAAACAGCGAAGTAAGTAAAAGAATAATTTTGGATTTTGATTACATGGTTTGATCTAGCTATCTAGGTAGCCACACGTGACTTAGACTAGCTTGAAAAATAGAGGGTTGTTTTATTTTATGTGTTTGCTTGCATAAGTTGCAAAAACCAAATGAGTGAAGATGAACCCTAGTGTGTGTTATTACCCCACATGCTCACAAAGCTTGAGGTTGGGTCTCGGCCTGAGTTCAAAGACCCATCTCATCTGCCATGTTAGTATTCTCTGTGACAAACTTTATAGCTGTATTCCACTACCTCACCACCAGTCAACCACTTCGATAAATATAAGAAAATCTTACACATTTTTACGTAGGATCATTTCACGCACAATGACCCTTTTCTTCACCTTCTTCCTTTTAATTACACTTTGCACATTCCTTTCTTCGCCTCGATTATATTACACTATTTCATTCATTAACGTTAATACTGGTTTTCACATCCCAAATTTGCTCATTTGCTTTCTGTCTCTGTTTAAAGTTTGTAAACTGGTCTGTAAAATAATCTTGTTAATAATACATGAAATTTCAAAAGGGCACTTGCAATAGAAAATAACATAAACAAAATAGATGTGCGTTTCACTCTGCACCAAAGGAGACATGTAGAGAAAATCGTGATGGAAAAAATAAGTATTTGTTGAAGGCTTCTTTAGATTCTTAAACAAGCAAGTACAACAACTAGTTAACTGCTTAATTTATCAAGCTAATGTGCTCTTAATGCTATAACGTGCCGTCCATAAATCCTTAACTGTTATTCATTAATTATTTCTTTTATTACAAAACACACTCATAAGGTCACTCTCATCACTTATATTTAAGCTAAATTGGTCCAAAATTTTAAAAATAAACTAATTCTAATTTTTATTAAAAATTAAAGTTCAAAAATATATTTAATTCAATTTTTATTGATAATAAATTAATATAATCATCCTTCTACGCTTATTTAATGAAACAAAGCACTTATTACATATGATTGTGGTTTCGTTTTCTTGAGATAGGTTTCACCTCTATAAATGATTAGTTTACGGGTTTTATTCATTATCAAAATAAGTTTTAAAACTTTCGTTTTCATCGTAGGTTTTTTTTATACATTTAAAATGTTTATATTTTCATTTTCGGTAAAATATCTCGATGTGTCTGTTCTTAAGCCAATCATGTAAAGGAGGTAGTGATCTATGACTACCCTGTCGTGCGTAAGGTTAACATAAATTCATGAACATTCGCATTTCCTAATGAAAAGCAAGATTCCGTTACCTGTACAAGGCCAGATTATTTTGATATCCCGTTAAGCAACAATAATGCTTATACGATCATGTTGTGGAAAAAGTGTTAAAATAACCCTACATTAAAAACAATGACAATAATTATGATCAACGGATCTACCTTAATAAAATAATATTGTGCTAAGTAACACTGAACGCCTAAGTATGATAGTTAGAAAAGTGAGCATATTAGTATTTTAAATCCTCTAACTAAAAAATATAAAATAACATTAAATAATAACTATAGAAACAATTATTAACTTCAAAATAATACATATTGGTATAAAATTTTAAAAGGAGAAGAATAAAATAATGTGAAGTTTGACCAGGTCAAAATCAGAAGAGCAAGTCCAAATCAAATCACGAATTTCAAAATGACAACTCTTTAGATGGTTTTTGGATAAAAACAATAATAATTAAATAAATAAAAAGAGCGGGAATGCATATGAAGAGGGTAGTAACCGAGACAGAGGGCCCTAACACTGGATTCAGAGAGGGACCCATCAGAGGTACCCTCCATCTTCAACCAGCATCCCCTGTCCCAATGTCTACACTTTCTTCCTACTTTCCTTCTGCTCTTCCCTCCATTAACTTGATAATGACCTTTCAAATTTACATTCCAGTGAAAATATCTTCCAATATTTCCCACAGTATCATTAACCAGTAGTCTAGTATCGTTTTTAATTCATTTCTTTATATTTGCTTTTTGACAACTGTACTTTTAAAAGAAAATAACTACTGGCATTAGCATTACTCAAAAATTAATATCAGTCAAACATACTGATGAACTCATGGGCAGTGGCAGCACATATTCCATAAGAAATCAAGAAAAGCTAAAAATGTAAACTCTCAACAGGAGGATGATGGAGATATGGAGGATAATGGAATTACACAACAGTTGCCTTTACTACATATAGTATAACTTATTACATACTATTCTATAAGGAGTAAGAGCTTTTACAAAAGAGTTATGGGCAATCTTCCAACACTTTTTCTGCCAGCTAGACTTTAACCCCCTTCTAACACAGCAAGCTTTACCCCTTCTTCCACAAAATTAATTTAACTTGGAAGAAAACCAACCCCACTTATTACAAAATAATAAATATATTCTTAATCAGAGATAAAACCCTTCCCCTAAACTGCTATCTTTCACTGTTTCTTCAACTAACAGATCCCAAAAGCTGCATCTCTCACAAAAACCGGATGTTTATTGCCACTAAACTACCCAAAACACATTCTTGAATATCATCTTTATATTATAAAATTTAAACTAATAAACAACTTCCCTACGAAATTTTCACTACATTGCTTTCTTCACCGAATTTAACTTATGGAAATTGAATCTTTGTTTCAACTATCATCAAAGTAGTCAGTACGTCCATTCTTGAGGCAAGCGAAGTTCATGGTTGGCTGCCTCCTCTCGCCGCATGTTGAACTTCTGTTGAAGGATAAGAGCATTTCTCCTTGCTAAAAAAGCATCTACAAGAACCCCAAACTCAATCAAGTTAACAGGGGAAAGACTCAAGTTTAACCCAAAATATTTTGCATAACTAGAAGACCAACTTACCATAGTCCGCCCCGAATGCACTAGAGAAGCGCTGTTGGCTAGCAGCATTGATGTCATCAATGTTGAGGTTCAAAGCATGGATAACCTTAGCTGGGACCAGAACCGGAGCAGGACAACCTGTTTCAAAACAACAGCAATTATCAGATAACCGCTAAATAAGCAGAAACAGTGCTTAATCAATGGGATTCAGTAATTTACTTGTTTTCTTGCGAGATTCCGGTGGAGGTGCCCCATACTGACGAGGCAGGAAAACCCCTGTTCCAGCGCAACCCTTTTTGTTAACAGCACCAGATCCAGCTTGCAAACCGGGTCGTGACCCTGATCCGAAATGCGAAACCTGCTGATTCTGGGGCTTCGCTTGAAGAGGACGGCGCCATACAGAATGAGGCAAGGCGCGTATGCAGTTCATGGCTTCATAGTCATACCCAAAATCACGCAAATCACGTACTCTGTTCTGAACTTGTGGCTGCTGCTGCTAGGTCACCCAAGCAACCTTCTCTTGCCTTCCCCAAACGGAACCACACTGATGCTTCAGCACCTGCTCCGGTCTCACCTGCGGGTACCGAGCCTACACAAGGGGAAATAAATGTAAACACCGGATTCCAACATGCAACTTCTTTTACACATTTTCACAAACACCTTGAACACATTAGTAAATAACTCACCTGAGGACCGCCATGGTTCACGAAAAACGCATTCTCCGCCACTACTGGCGGAGAAACACCCCCAAAAACTCCCCCGTTCTGAAACTCAAACTTCGAAGAGACTTCGTCGTTCATCCTCAACCTCGCAACTTGCCCTGCGGCCGCGTAAAGTACATCCCACGCATCATTTGTAGGCTTAAACGGCGTCGTCGTTGGCGAGGGAACACGAGAAGACCCGTTGGGACTCCCGTCGCCGGAACCGCCACTCCGACCAGACCAGCTTCCGATTCCGCTGAGTATAGACTGAGGCGACCCAGCCAAACCCCGAGCCATCAGTTTCTGACTCTGCAAAAACCCAGAAAAGCAGCGTAAGTTTACCCGAAAAGAAAAAGCAACCAAACAAAGCAAAAGGATCCATCACGGTCATCATTACCTCAGTTTTTTCACCGTTGCAGATTGGAACAGTGAGCAGCTGTTCCTTCCTGGTGTCATGGAGCGATGCATGACCGAGCCGGCGAGTCAAGCCGGCGAAGAAGTCCTCCTCGTCGCTGCTCTCGGTCCCAGTGGAACCGGACTCGACCGGTTCGGCCCCAGGCGAGTGAAACTCGTAGGGAAACTCGGAGGGGAAGGCAAACGCGGCGTCAAACTCAGCTTCATCCATGGGTGAAAGTGAAGGAGTGAAGAGGCGAAGGTTGGAAGAAAAGTAAAGAAAAGTGGTATGAAGCCGTTACGAGTTACGAGGGTAATGAAGGGGAACGAGGAAGCTGAAGTTGGTGGTGGAGGAAGATTTAATAATAACACAGCTGTGTGTGCAGAGTGGGACCCACAGTGCGAATGAAAAAAAAAAGATAAAGTAAAAGAGATGGTTGTGTTGTTGTGATGCGTTGGAGGATAATAGAATGTAAGAAGACAAGTTGCTTTTATTAAGGTTTCAGGGTCCCTTTTAGACACTTGAAAATAAAAATATTGGTGCGTATGAAAATGAAAGAGAGAGAGAATTGCACTGTAAACAACTGGAAGAGTGGCCCAGTGGTTGTGGACATTTGTCCTTGCATGCATTTCACCTGCCATTTGTCCACTCCGTTACTCCTAAACTTCAATTAATCTTTCAAATTAATTAAGCGCCACACCAACACTTTTTCCATCATTCAAAATTCTCCCTTTTTTACTGTTTCAAATCAAATTTCAAATTTTCCTACTCACCTAATTCCACTCTCTTCCCCTCTCTTTTTTTTGTCCCTACCTTCTTTTGGAAAATTTTGGACTTTCCCAACATTCACTTCAAATTTTAAATTCCACCATTTTTTTCAAATTCTTTTCTTTTTTTTTTTTAATTTCATTTTGATAACGATGGGGTCCTTTCGGTAATGTTCCTCCACGCTTCTCTTTTTCCAAATCAAACTTCTGCTTCGAAAATCTCTCCGTTGTGCAATTCCACGAAAATAAGTCCCGAGGTCGTTAATTTGTTAACTCAATGTTTATATGCGAGTTACACATTTCTGTTTAATCTTTTCGTCTTCGATACAGAACAAATCCATAATATGTTTTCGAAAGCTTAAAAAAACAAAGATTATGTCAGAAAAGTGTGAGGATTATGTTAACCAAAGAGTTTTAAAAAAATTACTGAAATTCATGGTTAAGTTGTGATTACTAATAGATATAAGATTGAGTAGCAAATACATATATAACCAAAATATATATTATTGTTTGTATATTTTCAACATTAAAATTAAGTTTAGTCAAATCTATTAAGATTAAATACAAGATAGTCTTGCTTAGGTTGTGAAATGATGTAACACAACTTTAACACTATTAGTAATATGATTGATAAAAAGATCGATTTGACACTAAAAAATGTAAAGAATCGAAACGAAACTAATAAATAAAACAACGAAACGAATGCACTATTAAATCTATACAGTCTTTAGAAAAACTAAAAGTATATTTTATAAATAAAAAATACTTAAAAATGTATTTAAAGGAGTTAGTAAACATAAATCTATATCCAGTATAAGAAACGTTAAATTTAAAAAACTAATCAATAAAAAAATGCTTTCAACGTTAAAGGGAGCATGACTCTATCTTGGTTTTTTTCTTGTTGGGTCATTTTCAAGTCAAAAAATGACAGTTTTAAATGACAACAATTGCCATGAATGAGAAGTTCAAAACTTTATTTATCCTTTGTGGTGTGATTAGTGACCTGAATGTGAATATGTGCAAAATCATCATCCATTTATTTAAAAGTTTACTTGAAGTGGGGTTTGAAGGTTCCCTCTGATTGGAATAAACTCAGAGTCTAAAAAATTATTAACAAAAAGACTAACATGTCTATATATGAGATATGAATCAAAACTTTACAAATTGAACCTTTACAAGTATGTTCTCATATGTTACTATTATGAATAATTTGCGAACCTGTTGTTACGTTTAGTGTAGCTAAGTTGGATGATTTTTGTGATATTTTCCACCGTCATAGCTTCGTATTTTAAGCTAAGCAAATTCACACTGTCACATGTGACAAAAAAACACACCCGAATTTTTGCTTCCGACACAAATAGATTCACAATTAAAACTCTTCCTTGTCTTCGAAGGCACGATTAAATTAGTGGGCCAAAACAATACTACTGTATATGTTTTTTGTTTTATTTATTTTAAAAACAAAACAAAGAGAAATAGAAATATCTTTAAATAAATTCGACCCAAAAAAAACCAAACAGTCTATTAGCTAGTGCAACCATCGTATTTGTTTTAGTATGTGATTTTCATGGTTTTAAAAATAATGTTGAGATTAATAAAGTACATTTTGAAAGGGGAACAATGACTTTCTAATGAAAATAAATGGTATGAAACCATGTATTATATTTATATTCAGAGCGTTTTTCCTTGGGATTTTTACCAAAACTAACACTTCTGAAATATGTTACAATGATTGGAAAAGTTTTCAAAAATGGATTTTAAATTATTTAAACAGGTATTCCATATAAATTTATTTGTTCCATCTTGATAAACAACTGTATGAATCCTCTGCTCTATAAACATGCACAATTATTCAAGCTTTTCGTTAGGTAAATTACAAATCATGATAACTAAAACATGTCCAACATTAATTTTTCTCGTATATGTCATTTTCAAACTTATATGTTATTTACACTATCTCCATATATAACCTGTTTGAATCTGATCACAAAAAGTAATATATTGCTACATTAATACTTGACTATAATAAAATAAAATCAGGAAATTTTGACTAATTTTAAGGACGTTAAAATGGGTTATTCAGCTACAAATTTACCCCTTCTGTTTTTAACTTGTAAAAAATAGGTTAGGGTTATTATTCATAATTACTTAAAAATTACTATTAACTGTGTAAATGCTTTTAAATAATTAATTAATTAATTAATCTTTTTAATTAGATTATTTAAAATAATTATTATCTTGACATGATAAGTTACTTAATTCTAAGCAGTAAGTAAATCGTAATTCATAATTTACAGGTATTCATTATTTAAATCATACTATTATTACATCCTTTAGACAATGTAATATAAATTTACCATTCTTAAATTTGTATTCTTTTATTTTTAAATATAACATAAAATTATCATCTTTAAATTGTATTATTTTATTTTCATTTGATTAAATTAAAAAAAAGGGAGTTAATCCACTCTACTTATAGTTTACCAAGGTTGTCAATCAAATCGATAGAGTAATGTTAAACTACCATATTCATGTTTAAAATAAGGTTTAATACTTCTTTTGGTCCCTCGAAAGAGGAGGATTGTTCAAAGTTGTCCTACCTTTTTCAAAAAGTTCGAAGTGGTCCCAATTTGTAAAAAATTGGGTCAAGTTAATCTTTTTTTTGTTACGGCGTCAAAATTTTAACGGTGCAAGTGTCCTCCTGGACAAATCATAATGAAGTGTCCATTTTTTGTGATTGCGTGGCACTGAAGATAAATGACGTGTTCAGCGAGAGGGAGAGGGAGTTGTGCGAGAGGACGGGGACTAGGAGACTAACGAGCTCTTCGGTGAAGTGAAGAATGCGTTCGACAGCTGTTGCGAAGAGACGATGAAGCTCGTCCTGAGTAGTGATGCGCCATGTGTAATCTCCGACGATGGCAATGGAATGGATAGCGACCCAGATCTTTCAATTTGGGATTAGGGCTTTTGAATTCGGGTTTTTGTTTGATCTGCGTCTGGGTTCCTTTGATAGTTGGAATCCCGGCCGTAGAGCTGCGATCGTCGGGGCAGGTGGCTACGGTGTCGTAGGCCCCGACGACTTCCTCTGCAGTTGATTTCACCGTTATTTGAGAGTAAATTTTGATAACAAACGAACCCTTTTTGACTTAGAAACTTGCTTGTTCTCTTGTTTTTAGTTTATTGTGATGAATAAGAGAGATGAGGTTCTATTTGAAGATTTTATCACTAAATTCCCTTGATTTTGTAGGAAACTAGGATGAATTGGAAGAGGAGTTAAATGTCAAGAAGTTAGAACTTAGAAAGGACAGAAAGAGATCCAGAAGAGAAGGTTGCTAAAGGTCGCAGGACGCTTGGGCGCCCTCCTCTGGGGCCCTTAGTGCAGGAGCCTCGCAGTCACGCTTGAGCGTCTTTTTTGGGGCGCTGAGCGCCAACCTTCCTGTAACGTTTCACGCTTGGGTGCCCTGTCTGGGGCGTTGAGCGCCATCCTCTCGCAAGCTAGCATGCGCGCCCTAAGTGGGACGCTGAGCGGTGTCAACGTTGGCCTATGTTACAATTCAGCCTTATTTAA